GGATCATATAGCTCTGTAACATACAACCTCAGTCGAAATCACAGGATCATATAACTCTAACATACAACCTCTGTTAAAATGACAGAATCATATAAGTCTATAACATACAACTTCTGTCAAAATTTCAGAATCATATAGCTCTAAAACCTACAGCCTTTGTCAAAATCCTAGGTTCATTTAGCTCTATAACATAAAACCTGTGTCAGAATATCAGGATCATATAGCTCTATAACATGCAACCTCTGTCAAAATATCTTGGCAACTTCGTTCAATATGTTATGGAGACGGTAATAACATATAGAAAAAACATATGAATATTAAAATCAACTTATCAACTTTAAGTGTAGTACCTTGCGTGTGTGCATGTTTCAGGGTATCGAAATCGAAGTGATTGTAACTTTTTATAGAACACTGAAACTAATTTCACATGGCAGCGGGGGCATTTATGTCTTACAGACATTTTCTAGTTTTATTAGCCCATCATCATCTGATCAGACTGATGGTCTGCTATTTAAATCACCCTGCTTCCGACTGGTCCGTGGTCCGTCCGTCTGTCCTTAAACATTTCTTGTTATCGCTATTTCTTAGGAAATTTTTCTCAAATTTTATATGTAGGTTCCTCTTCGTTCCTAGTTGTGCAGAGCAACTTTTGAGATTGATCAGATAAACAACATGGCCGACAGGCAGCAATCTTGGATTTTGAAAGTGAATGTTTGTTATCGCTGTTTCTCAGTGAGAGAGATCTTTCTCATATCTTATATGTAGGATTTACTTTTGAGACTGATCAGATGAACAAAATGGCAGACAGGCTTCGATATTTGACCATGCAGGTTTGTAAGTACTTTTTCGCAGGAATATCTTGAGGGATCTTTCTCAAATTTGATATGCAAGTTTCCCTTGATCCCCTGTTTTGCATATTACATTTTGAGACTGATCATAAAAACAATAAAGCAAAAGGAAGAACTAAACAGATCTTTCTCATATTGCAACGATCAATTCTATTTCTTTCACATTAAGTACTGTACTAGTAAATATGTGAAATGACAAACTCACTTTGAAGGTTGTCTTTTATACACAGCAGTATTAAGTTTAGATCAAAAGCTACCTTAAGGTGCATTTACTGTTAACATGACTCGATGAAACAGATTAGAGAAAATAGGAGAAAAGAACTGACAAAGAACTAATGAAGATGGTACAATGGTGGGTGCCAAGATCACTCTAGGATCTCTTGTTTGCGAACGACCGTTGAGCTTATGCCATGGCGCAGCGTCCGTCATCTGTCAACCTTTCCTAAAATTTGCATCCTTGGGGAAAGGGGAACACATTTTGTATGAATAGTGGGTCGGGCCCCCATGGGGGCTGAGCGGCGGGGCCAAATAGGGGAAAATTAAAGCAAATTCCTTAAAATCCGTCTCCTTCTGAAGGAATGAAAGGATTTGTTCCATATTTGGTCAGAAGCATCCTTATGGGATGGGGAACCTGGGGGCTGAAGGGCGTGGCCTTATAGGGGAAATACAGCAAATTTGAATTCTTTAAAATCCTTCCTCTTCTGTAGGAATGAAAGGATTGGTTCCATATTTGGTCAGAACTAATGAAGATGGTACAATGGTGGGTGCCAAGATCACTCTAGGATCTCTTGTTTGCGAACGACCGTTGAGCTTATGCCATGGCGCAGCGTCCGTCATCTGTCAACCTTTCTTAAAATTTGCATCCTTGGGGAAGAGGGCACAAATTTGTATAAATTGTTGGTCTTGCCCCCCTGGGGGCTAAGGGATGGGGCCAAATAGGGGAAATATAGCAAATTCTTTAAAATCCTTCTACTTGTGTAGGAATGAAAGGATTTGTTCCATATTTGGTGTAGAGCAAGTGAGCTTATGTCTTGCTTCGTTGTCTGTGCGTCAACTTTTCCTTTAAAACGCTACTAGTCCTGAACGGCCAAGTAGATTTTGACTAAATTTAGCCTGGATCATCATTAGGCCAAGGGGACTCAATTGTGTATAAACCATAGGTATGCCCCCTCTAGGGACGGAGAAGCGGGACACAATAGGGGTAATACAAGTTAAACCTTTAAACATCCTTCTTCAATGGTAGGGATTAAGGGATTTTATCCTTATATAGTCTGGATCATTCTTGGTCCAAGGGGACTCAATTTGGTCAAAATGGTGGGTATGACCCTTGTAAGGGCAGAGGGGTGGGGCCCAATAGGGTTAATAGAGGTAAACATTTAAAATCCTTTCTTCTACTGTTTGGATTAGGGGATATTATCTTAATTTGGTCTGGAGCATCCTTGGGCAAAGGGGAACCAATTTTGTACTACCGCCATTTTGAAAAAACGATTTCAAACTTTAAGTCAAGTTCAACTGGGCCGATTTAACTGAAACTTGGTCTAGGAATGATCAACTCCTTGTCCCGACAAAAAATAACTTAACGTTATATTTTACAATTTTTTACTTAAATTTTAATAGGGATGGTTGACATCATTATATCCACTTCATATTTCAACAATAAAAATTAATACTGTATGACTCAGTTGACCGTTAAGGTCCATGGGCCTGTTGTTTCTTATGTCATGGTGCGGCGTCCGTTGACCGTCTGTCCGTCCTCCGTCAACTTTTCCTTTAAACAACTTCTTCTTAAGAATGGTCAGGTCTAGAGTCATGATATTAAGCTGAAAGCTTCTTTGGTAGGAGCTTGATAAAATTTCAGAACGAAAATGACTTTGACCTACATTCAAGGTCAAAGGACTCAAATGTGTCAAACATTTCAAACGAAAGAAGAAATAAAACGTATATAATCTTCATATTTGCCTGGTGGCTTCGTATGATAGAGCCCGACAAAGTTTGAGAACGATAATGGCTTTGACCTTCTTTCAAGGTCACAGCAGTCAAATATGTCAAACTCTTCAAAGAACTTCTTCTGAAGAACTAAAAGGTATGGAATCTTCATATTTGGCTGGTTGCTTTCTTCGATAGAACCAGACAATGTTTGAGAATGAATAAAACCTTGACCTACTTTAAAGGTCACAGTGGTCTAATATGAGAAGCGGTTCAAACGACTTCGTCTGAAGAACTGAAAGGTATAGAATCTTCATAATTGGCTGGTGGTTTCTTGGATAGAGCCAGACAAAGTTTGAGAACGAAAATGACCTTGAACTACTATCAAGGTCACAGGGTCGAAAATATCAAATACTTAAATGACTTCTTCTGAGGAACTGAAAGGTATAGAACCTTCATATTTAGCTTTGTTCGTAAGAGCCCAACAAAGTTAAGTTTGAGAACAAAAATGACCTTGACCTACTTGAATTTCAAGGTCACAAAGGTCAAAAGTGTCAAAAACTTAAAACAACTTCTTTTGAAGAACTGAAAGGTATAAAGTCTTGGTATTTGGCTGGTGGCTTCTAGGGATTGAGCTTGCGAATGAAAATTACCTGACCCACTTTTAAGGTCACAGGGGTCAAAAGTGTCAAACTTATTATACAACCTTTTCTGAATAATTGAAATGCATAGAATCATATTATTTGGCTGTTTGCTACTTAGAATTGAACCCGACAATGTTTGCGAATGAACTACAAACAGCTTCTTTTGAAGAAGTGAAAGGCATGGAGTCGTGATATTTTACAAGTAACTTCCTTAGATGGAGCCCAACAAAGTTTGATAATGAAAATGACTTTTACCTACTTTATCCTATAGCTTTATCTTAATCTAATTTGATATAGAGTATGCTTGGCCCAACATGATTTCGTGTTGTAGAAATCATGCCCCATCCCAATTGGGACAGGAGATCAGTAACATATTTATTTAATATTTTGCTATGACTGCTTAAAGCGCTACAGACCCTCTGGGCCTCTTGTTAAAAATACCTCTTGCCCTAATGAGAATTCATGTCAATGACAGCACTTCTATTTATGTAAGGATAACAAGAATTCAGCATTTTGCCTATAGTTATGCAATTCATAAAAAACAACATTTGTCATAGTGACAAAATTAGCATAGGACATAAAACGTTTAAGTTAATGTACAATTTTAGTTTCATGTTTAGGATTTCCAACATGGGACTGGGTAATACATGTAGTTCCTGTAAGGGAAATGAAGAGCAAAGAAGGTTAAAGATCATCTTCAGAAGATCTAATAAAGATCCTTTCATGGGGGGTGCCAAGATCCTTCTAGGATTTCTTGTTAGACTGACCAGAAGAACAAGATTGCTGCCATTGATCCATCTTGGATTTGACAGTACAAGTTTGTTATCCCTATTTCTGAATTCTTCACAGATAGCTCTGATAAATTCAAATGTATATTCTCCTAAACCAGGTCAAAAGACAGCCTCATTTTGAAAGAATAATGTCAATTACAACAGTATGAGGTTTGGATCACCAGTTAGCCAGCAGAGTACATAAAGGGCATGTCTCGGATAAACATGGATAATGGATTCAACCTGCCCAACACTTCTACATCTACATGTATATATAAATTTATAAACTACATTTTGTTTAGAAGACTGATTTTATTTTATGCCAAATTTAGTGCTGATTTTTTAAAAGTTTTGAAACATGTAATATTACAGGGGTTATTCATTGTATACNACTTGAATCGTGGTTTCTGTTGGGAAGTGTTTTTTTCGGAATTCCAGTGTCAGGTTTCTGTTGACGTATTTGTAAAAAATCGACTTAAGCTTCAGTTAGGGTTCCACTTGTAATGTTTCTACAATCAAAAGAGAGTGGGATATATATAAAGATTCACCACAACGTTAAATACACAAAGTTGAACTCTGAATATAAATCTTAATGAAGCAATAGCACACAGAACTGTAGGAAAACATTTACACAATAGAGGCCCACAAGGATTTTCCACCCAAAAAAAAACAGCAATCAAATTATATACAGGTCACAGAGGGTTAAAGACACAATGAACACATCTATAAGTGCGACAGACATTAAAATCTGACAGATGTATCAAGTTAGCGTGACAACTGTTAGGTCTATACGTTTTTTATGATCTTTTCAGGTCTATACAAAGCCAACTCAGAGGAACTCATGAAGGAGCGAATTGCACATGAGCATGCAAAAATGGTTACGAAATTATCCGAATATATTTCCCCAAAACTGGATACTTGGTCAAAATTCAGAGAGTTAATACGTTGGGCTTTACCTACGGCATACCTTGAAGAGGACTTGAACTCTATCGTAGAAAGCCTAATGAAGAAACATCATATTGATTATGGTCAATACCAAACATTGTATGAAGCTGTCGACAAATTTGACAGGAATCCATCAATCATCATTAAGAGTGCAGAAGCACGTATAAAAGCAATAAGAGATGGAGGTAAGCACCTATAAAACTAAAACCCACTAGTTGTTTATGAGGTACTGATCACAACCCTTACATTTATTTGTCGTACACTTTTCATATTGAAGTCCCATTGCACAGGGACATCTGTTTTTCTGATGTTTTTACGTTTGTTTTAGTCTCTCGATCACCTTGCTAGATTTTCATATCAACATGATATTTGCTTTGCTCAAGTGACCTATTCTAATTGCTTTCCGTCCTTTGTCGTCGGTCGTGCGTAAACATTTTACATTTTCAACTTCTTCTAAAGAACCGGCGCCGGAAATTTTTCAAACTTTTTATTCGTTCTCCCTTGGGGAGGGGGTAAAGTTTACTATAGTTTTTTATAGGGAAATAACTCTTTGGGGTATATTTTGACAATTTTCTGCAGGAAATTATTTTTTACTTGGAGGAAGATAAATCAAATTGTAAAAATGAGATTCCTACCCCAAACCCTGGGGCCAGGGGGAAATGAAGAGCAAAGAAGGTTAAAGATCATCTTCAGAAGATCTAATAAAGATCCTTTCATGGTGGGTGCCAAGATCCTTCTAGGATTTCTTGTTAGACTGACCAGAAGAACAAGATTGCTGCCATTGATCCATCTTGGATTTGACAGTACAAGTTTGTTATCCCTATTTCTGAATTCTTCACAGATAGCTCTGATAAATTCAAATGTATACTCTCCTAAACAGTTAAAAGACAGCCTCATTTTGAAAGAATAATGNTGAATAAATAAAGCATACATGGTGATTGCTTGTTGATGTGAATGACCTTGACATACTTTCATAGTCACATCTGGTCCATAGTGCATAAATCTTTAAAAGTCATCTTCTCTAAACAAATGGTATCGGGTGGTGATATTTTTCTGAATGTGTGCTTGAAAATTTGATATTTTGTAAATAATACCTGCAGCCTGTTTCAATTTTTAGCTCACCTGGCCCGAACGGCCGAGTGAGCTTATGGCATGGTGCGGCGTCAATTGTCCCGCAGCCGGCCGGCGTCAACTTTTTATTTTTAACAACTTCTTCTCAGTAACAAAAGGCCTAGGGTGATGATATTTGGCCAGAAGCATGCTGGGATGAAGGGCTACCAAGTTTGTTCAAATAAATGACCTTCATCCATTTTCAAGGTCACGGGGAAAAATATGTTAAAATATTTAATCAACTTCTGAATAACCAAGAGGCCTAGGGTGATGATATTTGGCCAGTAACATGCTGGGATTCAAGGGCCTCTTGTGTTAAAATTTAACAAAGGTCCTGTTCCTGATAGGCTAGCAATCTTTACACTGTCAGCATCTCCAGCATAGATTACATAGAAGCAGCTGCTTACCACAACCCTGACCCCTTAATGTGCCCTAGCCATGGCAGGTCATTTGGCCAAACTTATGCACTCAACAGAGAAACATGGCCCAATTAGGTATCTGTTCATGTAGTGGCAGTAAGCTTGACTCTCTGCTATCATTTTCAATAGCAGATACATATGTACATATATATATATCTAATAAGTTTGCTTATTTAATTTGTGTCTAAAATTGAATAAGCACATTCATATGTTTCAACTGGATTTGAATAACGAAGAATATCAAAGTTAAAAGTTCAGATTTTATGGTTGAACTAACAATTCTTTGAACCATTAAGTTCAGGCCTTGCTCAGGTGTTACAAAAAGTTGAAAGTTCAAATTCTCACTGTATCCTAGCTATTGTAATGTATTCTGGTCAAAGGTATAATAAATTAGTCACATATTCTGTTTTATTTCCCATACACATACAACATGACTGAACCCATTATTCAGACCATGCTGGTACTGGATAATTATTCTAAATATCATATACATATCACAAAATATTCCATACATACCTTCACATGAGCTAAAGTAGTGTATTGGTGTTTCCTTCTCTTGCATTTATATCCACACTTTTATCATAAACCTCCAAATGGAAAATAATGTTCCTTCTCCTTACAAAACTCTATCAGTTATCACTAATAATCACTTGCAGCTTCAAAACTTTGACTGTAGAAACTGATCAATCACTGACCAGGATACTGGACTGGGTACTGTGGCCAAGTTCCGGATGTGAGATTGTTATCATATGATCTATACAGACTATACAATCTATATAGACTTGCTTAAGTCGGTTGAAATACTTTTGAACATTACAATTAATAGACTGTCAGATTTATTCCATTTGTTGTATGTTGAGACTAAACATAATTTGTTAAACCTGAATTAATATAAAATAGCATACATGTTCCAAATGCATTACATTTGCACCAATGATATAAAATGTTTTTGGTTCTTTTTCATACAATACTAAAAGTGCTGGACTGAGAGGTACAAAATACCAAAATCAGTTCCTACAAAACATACTGGAATCTGATAGTGGAATACAGTCTACTTAGTATGTACATAGTAGAGTACAGTTCACAGTTGACATTGTGGGTGATTGTACCTGTTGTGTCGGTAGTGGAATACAGTCTACTTAGTATATACATAGTAGAGTACAGTTCACAGTTGACATTGTGGGTGATTGTACCTGTTGTGTCGGTAGTGGAATACAGCCCACTTAGTATATACATAGTACAGTACAGTTCACATTCGAGAAAGTTGATGATTGTACATGTTGTGTCAGTATTGGAATACAAATCACTTAGTATATACATAGTAGAGTACAGTTTACAGTTGAGGTAGTGGATGATTGAACCTGTTGTGTTGGTAGTGGAATACAGAGTACTTAGTATATACATAGTAGAGTACAGTTCCCAGTTGACATTGTGGGTGATTGTACCTGTTGTGTCTGTTGTGGAATACAGTCTACTTAGTATATACATAGTAGAGTACAGTTTATAGCTGAGATTGAGGGTGACTGGTGTACCTGTTGTGTGGGTAGTAAAATACAGCCCACTTCAAATAAATATAGTAGAGCACAGTTCACAGTTGAGATTGTGGGTTATTGCATGTTGTACATGTTGTACATGTTGTATCGGTTGTGGAATACAGCCTACTTGGTATTGTCGTGAATTTGGTGTGTGTTATTCACACACCGTCACAACAAGTAGTTGTAAATGCTCTCAGCTCCTGAAATCAAAGACAAGGTGGAGGAAAATCACTCACGTATTGTATGTTCGATTCAAGATGTATAAGAGACCGCGCCGATACGTCACAGCGATGTTGTCGCGTAGCTCACGAGATCTCGTGTCGGCACGGTCCAAGGGAGATAACTCTCCCGAAATTCACCATACTATATACATAGTACAGTACAGTTCACAGTCAAGATTGTAGGTGATTGTACCTGTTGTGTCGGTAGTGGAATACAGTCCACTTATGTACATACAAAGTAGAGTACAATTCACAGTTGAAGATTGTAGGTGATTGTACCTGTTGTGTCGGTAGTGGAATACAGCCCACTTATGTACATACAAAGTAGAGTACAATTCACAGTTGAAGTAGTAGGTGATTGTACCTGTTGTGTCGGTAGTGGAATACAGCCCACTTAGTACATACAAAGTAGAGTACAATTCACAGTTGAAGATTGTAGGTGATTGTGCCTGTTGTGTCGGTAGTGGAATACAGTCCACTTATGTACATACAAAGTAGAGTACAATTCACAGTTGAAATAGTGGGGGATTGTACCTGTTGTGTCGGTAGTGGAATACAATCCACTTAGTACATACAAAGTAGAGTACAATTCACAGTTGAAATAGTGGGGGATTGTACCTGTTGTGTCGGTAGTGGAATACAGACCACTTAGTATATACAAAGTAGAGTACAATTCACAGTTGAAGAAGTGGGTGACTGTACCTGTTGTGTCGGTAGTGGAATACAGCCCACTTAGTACATACAAAGTAGAGTACAATTCACAGTTGAAGTAGTGGGTGATTGTACCTGTTGTGTCAGTAGTGGAAAACAGCCCACTTATGTACATACAAAGTAGAGTACAATTCACAGTTGAAGTAGTGGGTGATTGTCCCTGTTGTGTCGGTAGTGGAATACAGTCCACTTATGTACATACAAAGTAGAGTACAATTCACAGTTGAAGTAGTGGGTGATTGTACCTGTTGTGTCAGTAGTGGAAAACAGCCCACTTATGTACATACAAAGTAGAGTACAATTCACAGTTGAAGTAGTTGGTGATTGTACCTGTTGTGTCGGTAGTGGAATACAGTCTACTTAGTATATACATAGTAGAGTACAGTTCACAGTTGACATTGTGGGTGATTGTACCTGTTGTGTCGGTAGTGGAATATAGTCCACTTAGTACATACAAAGTAGAGTACAATTCACAGGTGAAGTAGTGGGTGATTGTACCCGTTGTGTCGGTAGTGGAATGCAGACCACTTAGCATATACATAGTAGAGTACAGTTCACAGTTGAGGTAATTGGTGATTGTACCTGTTGTATCGGCTGTGGAGTACAGTCTACTTAGGTACATACTAGAGTACAGTTCACAGTTGAGACAGTGGGTAATTGTACCTGTTGTGTCGGTAGTGGAATACAGTCTACTTAGGTACATACTAGAGTACAGTTCACAGTTGAGGCAGTGGGTAATTGTACCTGTTGTGTCGGTAGTGGAATACAGTCTACTTAGGTACATACTAGAGTACAGTTCACAGTTGAGTCAGTGGGTAATTGTACCTGTTGTGTCGGTAGTGGAATACAGTCCACTTATGTACATACAAAGTAGAGTACAATTCACAGTTGAAATAGTGGGGGATTGTACCTGTTGTGTCGGTAGTGGAATACAATCCACTTAGTACATACAAAGTAGAGTACAATTCACAGTTGAAGTAGTGGGTGATTGTACCTGTTGTGTCAGTAGTGGAAAACAGCCCACTTATGTACATACAAAGTAGAGTACAATTCACAGTTGAAGTAGTGGGTGATTGTACCTGTTGTGTCAGTAGTGGAAAACAGCCCACTTATGTACATACAAAGTAGAGTACAATTCACAGTTGAAGTAGTAGGTGATTGTACCTGTTGTGTCGGTAGTGGAATATAGTCCACTTAGTACATACAAAGTAGAGTACAATTCACAGTTGAAGTAGTGGGTGATTGTACCTGTTGTGTCAGTAGTGGAAAACAGCCCACTTATGTACATACAAAGTAGAGTACAATTCACAGTTGAAGATTGTAGGTGATTGTACCTGTTGTGTCGGTAGTAGAATACAGCCCACTTAGTACATACAAAGTAGAGTACAATTCCCAGTTGAAGATTGTAGGTGATTGTACCTGTTGTGTCGGTAGTAGAATACAGCCCACTTAGTACATACAAAGTAGAGTACAATTCACAGTTGAAGAAGTGGGTGACTGTACCTGTTGTGTCGGTAGTGGAATACAGCCCACTTAGTACATACAAAGTAGAGTACAATTCACAGTTGAAGTAGTGGGTGATTGTACCCGTTGTGTCGGTAGTGGAATGCAGACCACTTAGCATATACATAGTAGAGTACAGTTCACAGTTGAGGTAATTGGTGATTGTACCTGTTGTATCGGCTGTGGAGTACAGTCTACTTAGGTACATACTAGAGTACAGTTCACAGTTGAGACAGTGGGTAATTGTACCTGTTGTGTCGGTAGTGGAATAGAGTCTACTTAGTATGTACATCGTAGAGTACAGTTCACAGTTGAGGTAGTGGGTGATTGTACCTGTTGTATCGGTAGTGGAATGCAGACCACTTAGCATATACATAGTAGAGTACAGTTCACAGTTGAGGTAATTGGTGATTGTACCTGTTGTATCGGCTGTGGAGTACAGTCCACTTAGTATATACATAGTAGAGGACAGTTCACAGTTGAGGTAGTGGGTGATTGAACCTATTGTGTCGGTAGTGAAATACAGCCCACTTAGTATATACATAGTAGAGTACAGTTCACTGTTGAGCTAGTGGGTGATTGTACCTGTTGTGTCAGTATTGGAATACAATCTACTTAGTATATACATAGTAGAGTACAGTTCACAGTTGAGGTAGTGGATGATTGTACCTTTTGTGTTGGTAGTGGAATACAGCCCACTCAGTCTAGGTAGTATTTTACACTTTGAGTATCTAGAAAGATTAAGGAAGTGGAGAATATTCACTTAGTTGTGTGAATTTGTTTTTTATCCATTTGTCAGCGTACTATAAAACATGTTTAAATCATTAGTTTACTTTACAGTACCAAAATGTTTATCTGTTTGATTGCAGAAACAACAAAGTCAATAGTCAGAGATCAAACCTCAAGATCGGAGATCATCTCTACACACGCATTAGAAGACGCCAAGGAAGTGATCAGAAAGAACGGCATGGTCATCATCAAGGGCGCCTCTGGGGACGGAAAGACAATGATGTGCTACCAGCTGTTGAAGTGGCTAATGGATGGCGATAATAAGGATACTGGACTGTCAAAAGATCCGTTACAGCTTCACAGCATGTCTAAATGGGATGACATTGTTCAGCCAGAAACACAGATAGCTTTATTTATTGATGATGTCAGTGGGGATATTGTTAAAGAATTGGAGAGAAGGAAAGACTCTATACAGTTAGCATTTTGTGGCAAACTGAAAAGTAGATCAAATTGTTTGATCCTCAATGTTCGAGATGAAATTTTCAAAAGCACACAAATGTCCTCATGTAAACTATTTAATGACGATAACACCATTGATTTGAGAGGTAAAAACCTCATGACAAGTGAAGAAAAGCTGCAGATTTTAGAAAAGTATGTCCCAAAAATTAAAGACTTATCTGGTGGAAAGGAATCTGAAATTGTTAAATTTGCCCCCAAAATTGGGTTTCCACAATGCTGCAGACTGTATAGAGATGTTCCTAGCTTAAAAAATGAAGGGGTTGATTTCTTCAAAAGTCCAGTCTATTTCATGGAAAAAACTTTGAAGAAATTACCAAAGGAATGCTTTGCTTCACTTCAATTTCTCTTTCTCAATGATGGGAGGGTAAAGAAAGGAGACTTAGATCCTCCTAACAGTGAAAATGTTGACAAGAAAAAGCTAGAGATAGCTTTCCCTGGCGTTGAACTAAGTCATGAAGACAAAATCAGACTGTTACGTAGAAGTTTAGATCAAATGTTAGGATCTCTGGTTGCAAAAACGAAATGCAGGTTTCTGTATGATGATGATTCTGACGTATTAGATTCTGATTCTGATGTATTAGATTCTGATTCTGATGTATTAGATTCTGATGATGTATTTTACAGTTTTTGTCATGCTTCTGTTCAGGACACTGTTGCCCTTTTGTTTGGCAATAACACAAAAATTGGGTTCATAGAGAATTGTCCAAGAAAGTTTCTACGTTATATATCAACATCAAAAACCATTCCAAACAGAATAATTATATATTCTAGTAATACAGACATGTATAAACGTTTAGTCAGAGAGTTTGAATCTGACTCCAACAAAAACTGGTTTGATAGTGAATATATAACTTCATTAGATGTATGGAAAGATATTCAGTTTCTGCAGGGATTTATTAGATGGCTAAGTGGTCAGAATGTTGACAAAAACTTGTACCATGAGATAAAACGTCGCATGTTGAATGGAGCATGCTCTTCTGGTTCAGAAGAATGTGCTTTATTGCTCCTGTCGGAGGGTGTGACACCTGACGAGGAGACACCGTTTTGTGTGGTAGAGGGAGGGCGTGTGAGTGTGTTACGTAAACTACTGGAGTATGATGTCACTCAGACAGCGAGGGCACACAGGTCACAATCACCACATATAGCTTGGAATATCAATGTCCTACATGAGGCATGTTTGTTTGAGAGAGATGAGATGGTGACTTTGTTGTGTAACACTTACCCACACTTGGTACATGACACTGAAGGCGAGGGACGAAGCATGCTCCATTTTGTGGCGTGGATAGGAAACTGTGATATATTCAAAACAGTGGAGAGAATTATACTTAATTCCTTGTATGGAGTTGAGGACGAACATCATAAGTGTGAGACAGTAGAAGGTCGTGTGGTGCACAGGAATTGTGCATGTGCTCAGTACATGTGTCAGTTAGTGGATGATAAAGGGAGTACAGTGTTGCATCATAGTAGTGGGTTAGGGCACATGGAGGTTTGTAAATACCTGTGCGAGTCGTACCCACGCCTAACTATAGCTGTAGATAATAATGGGGAAACATTGTAACATTATAGTTGTGAGGAGGGACACATGGAGGTTTGTAAATATCTGTGCGAGTCGTACCCAGCATTAACTACAGCTGTAGATAATAATGGGGCAACAGTGTTATATTATAGCTGTAGGAGGGGACACATGGAGGTTTGTAAATACCTTTGTGAATCGTACCCAGCACTTACAACAGCTGTAAACAATAACGGGGAAACAGTGTTACATTATAGTTGTAGGTGGGGACACATGGAGGTTTGTAAATCCCTTTGTGACTCGTACCCAGCATTAACTACAGCTGTAGCTAACAATAGGGCGACAGTGTTACATTATAGTTGTAGGAGGGGACACATGGAGGTTTGTAAATGCCTTTGTTGGTCGTACCCAGCACTAACAACAGCTGTAGCTAACAATGGGGCGACAGTGTTACATTATAGTTGCAGGGGAGACACATGGAGGTTTGTAAATACCTTTGTGAGTCGTACCCAGCACTAACTACAGCTGTAAACAATAACGGGGAAACAGTGTTACATTATAGTTGTAGGAGGGGACACATGGAGGTTTGTAAATACCTTTGTGAGTCGTACCCAGCACTAACTACAGCTGTAAACAATAACGGGGAAACAGTGTTACATTATAGTTGTAGGAGGGGACACATGGAGGTTTGTAAATACCTTTGTGAGTCGTACCCAGCACTAACTACAGCTGTAAACAATAACGGGGAAACAGTGTTACATTATAGTTGTAGGAGGGGACACATGGAGGTTTGTAAATACCTTTGTGAGTCGTACCCAGCACTAACTACAGCTGTAAACAATAACGGGGAAACAGTGTTACATTATAGTTGTAGGTGGGGACACATGGAGGTTTGTAAATACCTTTGGGATTCGTACCCAGCACTAACTACAGCTGTAAACAATAACGAGGAAACAGTGTTACATTACATAGCTCGGTTTACATCAGATGTAGCCCTGTTCACTGAGTGTGAAATTCATATAAAACGCTACCTAGAAGCAACAGGACGTAAGTATGACATCACAACCATACTATCCAATCAGGAAGACTCTGTTTTAGACTTCGCAAAGTTCCAGCGGACAGAAAACAACCCTTTGTATGAATATCTTGTCCAATTGTTTGGTCCACAAAAACACTAAATATTCACACTCATTTCTCTATATTATTTACATTCACATGTGTAACATGGCACAAAACAAACATAATTTTTATGAAATCTTTTAATAACTTTTCAATGTTCACATGAAATAAAAACCAAACAAGTTATTTAGCTCACCTGGTCCGAAGGACCATGGTGAGCTTATGCCATACCGCAGCGTCTGCCGTCCGTCGTCCGTCCTCCGTCCGTCAACTTTCCTTTAAAACGCTACTTGTCCTGAACGGCCAATTGGATTTTGACCAAATATGGTCAGAGGCATTCTTGGGAGAAGGGGAACCAATTTTGTATAAATGGTGGGTCTGGCCCCTCTGGGGGCTGAGGGAAGGGGGACCAATATGGGAAACAGCAAATTCTTTAAAATCCTTCTTCTTCTGTAGGAATGAAAGGATTTGCTCCATATTTTGTGTGAAGCATCCTTGGGTAAAGGGAACCAATTTTGAATAAACCGTGGGTATGACCCCCCAAGGGGCATAGGGGTGGGGCTCTATTTGAAGTTTGTTTTCGGTATATCTCAAGTACTGGATGGATCTTTCTGAAGTTTCATATGTATTTTCAGCACCTACCATGGAGTGTTATATCTTTACGTCATACCAATTATTTTAAACATATTCAGGTGAGTGATACAGGCCCTCTGGGCCTCTTGTTTTCAAAGTTTTTGTCAAAATTCTCTCTCGAGTCGCGTTTTTTTCGCCGATATCAGGGGGTGAGAGACTGGTTGTGCTAAAATAAACTGGTAGAGAACTGGTATATCAGGTCTTGACTCTTCAGCAATGATTTGTTTGTGTGTGTATTAAAGTTGCTCTAGTAAATGCATTCCGTATTAAAATAAAACCAAAGATACTAATTTTAGAATACTTTTAAAAGTTATCGTTTAAAGTTGATCATAAGGATGATATAGATACAACAAAAGAATCATGTTATTTGAATTACAGGGCTGTAATTAATATAAAAGAAACCCCAGATAAGACTTAATTCAAACAGAAATTCATGATAATGTTTTCAGTACAGACCGTTTAAATATTTGTTTTGCAAATGCTAGAAAATATATAAACAATATGATTTATTTAATACAGAAATGGCCTTTTAGAACACTAAAAGCACTAACAAATATTTTTTGGCTATTTATAAGTGTTACAGCGTTATGCCAAGAGTATTCGCGACTTGCCAAGATTTCATCAATGTTTCATTCATCTCTGTCTTAATTTGTCATAAAATTTGCTTGGAAGGAAGAAGGATATAAAGACCCACATCTTTAAATCCTCATTTTAGGCTCTTGTACAGATCCCATGTACATACCACCCTATACATATTTATTTGTATGCATATTGAGATGAGTGTATTGTTACTTAATGTATAATGCTGATTTGTATACCTTTTGATCTACTTAATTTATAACTGTCACTGTTGGAATACTATTATTCATGTGTTGTGCATTGCTTAAGAGTAATTTTACAAATGATATAGAGCGCTATATACATGTTGTATTATTATTGGAGCAGTTTTTGTGCAACTGAAAAGAAATATGATTCCCTGATAGAAAATTAATTGATTATTTATCTGAACATATTTTCACATTTTCCAATGGAATTAATTGTACGGTAATGTGTTTACTCACATTATTTTGTAAGTCAAAGAATATATTTGTGTAGCAAAATCAGTGTTATTTTAAAATTTTGTCAAACTTTGAAAAGCAGTCAATACAAATATATGATATATTTTTCAACATATCTTTTAGTTAGTAAAATTGTGTTTCAATAGCGTTATAATGAACCCCAGGAAATGACATCGGAGAAAACGAGGAAAAACACATGAATTGCAAATCATGAATAATTATAGAAAGATGTTGTAAATGTCTGGTTTTCATTAAAAAAAATCTGATATAATTTTATTTTCAATTCAAAACGTCATTGCCAAAAGCTCTGCCTTGGTAGATTTTGTAAACATGTGTATTTAACATTTTAGGTACTTGGAAGAAAATGCTTTGCAAATATAAATGGCCAGGGTTCTCGGTAGGTTTTGGCAGTGGTTGAAAAGTTAATATAGCTGGTTGGGGGCGGAAGGCTAACGCGTCGAAGACCGCAGGCCGAGATGGGGAGAGTGTGATGTGCAGGTTTGCCTGCCTCTTGTAAGGAGGGTATTGGGGTCTCCCCCAGACAATTTTGAAATTGCAGGTGACGAGGTGACTTTTGAGCATACAAGTTTCTTTGAAACCATTGAAAAATATTCCTCTTTTGCTTTATTTGTTGATGTATCAAATTCAATGAGACTTGAAAACACATTCATACATCACAACTATCAGTTTCGGAACTGTTTGCCAGATTCCAGTATTTTTAATATTCATGTTTAGAAATAAAACAAAAACAAATGCGAGTATATCAACTGTATTTTACCAATTCCTCTTGGAAATTTATGAAATATATTTGTTTGGAAAGTGTTAAAATTTTGATTTGAATTAAAAATGAATAAAAACTACAATTTACAAAATTAATTGTATGAAGATAATTCAATGAGGATATCAAATTAAAAATAACCTCTTCAGAGCCTGAACAACATGTTAAAATATCGGGAAACTGTAAATAATCAACACATGTTAAAAACTCAATACAAAAATTGCAGTGCTCCAGATGTCAGGTGTTTCAGAAACTTTTTTTCATTAAATTAAAAACAGATACAAATTTAAGCATGAGAAGTCATTTCGTGGGCACGAGCCAGCTTGGGGCTTGTCACTGAAAATCTCTGTATAGATATGTGACAGATATAAAATGCTTTAGTACAATGTTTAAATGTTGAGTGGGTGTAAATATATATATATCCCAATTTCACCAAACTGGTCCAAAATGTTGTCTAGAGAACTGCAAAAGAGTAAAACGAGAACAAAACTTTTTTCCGACATAGTTTATTTAATATCTAATGTTCTGTACATCATTGGTCATCTTTGCTATGTATATCTAACATTTTTTGGAACTTTTCATAATCCTTTGTAAATATATTTTTGAAACGTGAGATAGTGCTATATGTCTTTTATGTTTTTTGATACGCTTAATTAGGACGGTATTATAGAAACTTTGGAAATATTTTGTATGATATATTTGTTTAGATATCATTGACATATGGTTTAATCACGTTTGAGAAGGACAGTATTATAGATACTTTGTAAATATTTTGTTTGATATATTTGTTTAGATTTCATTGACATATGGTTTAATCACGTTTGAGAAGGACAGTATTATAGATACTTTGTAAATATTCTGTTTGATACATTTGATTAGGACTGTCCTATATGTACATTTGTATATATATTTATGGATAAGTATGATGGGAACTGTGCTATGTATACTGATGTATACCTTTTTGACAGGGACTATATCAGATATCATTGACATATAATTTTTGATCACGTTTGATTTATTTTGACAGTATTTTAGATACTTTGTAATTTTGTTTAATATATTTGTTTAGGACTATTCTATATATACTTTGTATATCTTTAGTATTGATATGTTTGATGGGAACTCTGCTATATTCTCTTTGTAAGTCTTTTGATACGTTTGATCGGGACTTTCTGTAAATACTTGGTAAATATTTTTAGAAAGTTCGATGGGGACTGTATAATAAATACTTTGAAAATATTTTTAGAAAGTTCGATGGGGACTGTATAATAAATACTTTGTAAATATTTTGGGTAACATATGATTGTGACTGTGTTTTATTTACTCTGTAACTAATTTTGAACATTTGATCGGGACTTGCTATACAATATCTCGTAACTATTTTTGATAAGTTTGATGGGACAAAGTGCATGTTTTTTCACGTTATTAATGTTGTTACTTGACAATGTTTTTCCCCA